AAAAATAAAATACGAATATAAGTTCAGCGTTAACTTCTCTACTCTGTAACTTGCGTTCAATTATCTCTCGCAATCTTGCCCTTGGTTATCCTTAAGTTGTCGGATATAGATATCGAATTTCCGTTCGAGCGAAATCTGATGCATCGAGAACTCTTTACGTATGGTATCGTGCCTCGAGCATTGGTTCTCGGTTGTCATCGCAATAATACCGCGCTACTTCTCGTCGAGCCGTGTCTGCGTGCATTCTCACAGCAAACTTAAGAGATTGAAATTTAAACGGCATCGCTACCAGCTACATCGAAACGCAGTTACAAGAAGGTGCAAACGTCAATAATGCAACAAACTTTGCATACACTTTTCGTGCTTTATCGCGTTTACGACATTCCTCGTTCGTGTTCGACGATGTTTCTCGCTGTAGTTTCCTGCATTGAGTGGCCGTAACAGATTTAAGCTCAAAACATGTATTAGAATGTATAATTCCATTCATTTTCTAAAAGAGAATAAAAGTTACAGCTTTTATAAGCTTAAGAAAAAATAAATTAATGAACATTTTGATTAATGTCTCTTGAGTTTAATTTAATTTATATAAATATATTTATATAAATATAGAATTTTTGGAATTTATCGTTAGTCGAGGATATTTTTACTTAAGAAATGTAAATTTCCGAATTGACCAAAGAATTCGTCGAAGGAGCTACAATAAAAGCACATCTGACAAATCTGGGACATCTGGCGTAATTGTAAAACGGTATACGACAAATATCTACGCCCGTTCCTTTCGAGAATCTTGAGATGTAAATTTTTCAAAAATACTCAATCACGAGGGATTCACGGACGATTACGTGAGAACGTGCATATTTAGACGGAAAATTCGCGATATTCGCAGTCGTTTGTCTTCGTTCTCGTAACATTGCGAACGAAAATAGGGCCATCTCTTTCACGACTGCAGAGACAGTTTCCTCATCATCGCCAAGTCGACTCGTTCGCGCAAGGAAGGAGACTGCGTTTCTTCGCTCTGAACTAACTCACGCTCTAGTTACGTGACCGGGTCGCAGGGTCGGTATCATGCACACGATGTACAACGCGAGGGGGAGGGGGAGGGACGTAGCCGAAGAAATGCGTCTGTCTGACGCCGCGACGCATAAATATTCGCCGCGATGCGTCAGGTCGACGTAACGTTGCGCGGTATGCCGCGGCCGACACAGCAAATTAGATATTGTCGTCAGTGTCACGATACAATAAAGCTGGATAACAATCCAAAATCTCTCTTTGATTTCAATCAAATTATATTGAGAAACCGCGAAATAATTAATATATTCGAAATTATGAACTCATATCATCACTGACTTATTCCTTTTTTATATCAAGATCATATAAAATAATAATAATTAATCTAATTTTTTCTTTTATATTATTTTTAATATTTCTGCTTTATTTCATTGTGTTTTTTTTTCAAGTAACTTGATATTTAAAGTTAAATCTCTTAATGATCCTTGTGTGAGTAAAATATGAATAATTTTTCAACAAGTAGAAATATATAATTGAATAAATATATAAATATATAATTGAAATATAAAACTATTACGTAAAGCTAGAATTGTTTTTAAAAATTTAGAGAAAGAGAAAACCTTTATATCATCAAATGCCATATACGATACAAGTTATATAATTTATTTGAAACATACATTGCCGTTGTGGCAATGTATCTTCCTAAGCTTTTGCTCGCGACCCAACTAAGGCTTTCAGCCTCGAGGAGGTCGTTCTTAATTCAAGCTGAAACTGGAATTTTCGAGCGCGCGAATGCAATGTCGCCCGGCGGTAAGCGGATCTTGCGGCAGAAAAGTGCACCGAGTGGCTAATACGAAACTTCGGGCGCCGCCCAAGTAAGGCCGGATATTGCCTCTTCAAGTTTCTTCGGCGTATTTGCCGAAGCCGAGGAAGCGACCGGCTGATACGTATTTAAGAACGCTGCCGTCACCGGTGCCTCCCATAATAACTCAATTTGCCTTTTCCCCTGGGAAAAACGGGAGGCCGTTGCCTCTTATCGTGCGTTTGCTACTGTCGGAGCATAGCCGTCTTTCCTTGTGCACGTTGCCACAACGTTGGTGGATCAGCGAGAAGGAATTCAAAGCGCGGAAACGACTACGCGGAGCACGACATTTTCCCGAGATCCCGGCATGAAATATTCCTAAAACGAAATGTCAAAATCCAAGGCGAAGTCTGATTTGTTGTATGCGTTTGCAGCAAAATATAAATAAATTTGAAAATGTTTTATATGTAGATTTTCACAAAACAAAGATAGCGGAAAAAAAATATGTAGGAATTATATCTAGAAAGATTATATTCCTAGAAGGAATATATTCGTTAGTTATTCGAATAACATAAACTTTCATGCAGTATATTAGTGCGGGATGTTACGGTAATTACGTTAATAAATAGCATCTGCGGTTTAAAATTCTCGGACAATAAATTTTCGTTCGTCGATTAATGTGTGACGAAAAAAAAAAAGGAAAATACGATTCATATTCTCCGTTGATATCGCGCACACGATCTTTCTCGACAAAGTTTTAGATTAATCGGTTGCAAACTGCCAAGTTTAAGATCTTCACGGATGCCTCGCTTTAAAATTCCGCTAGCGTCAAACATTAAAGCGTACGACTTGCACTGCGGTGCATACTGTGCCGCATATTGCGAAGCATACCGCGGGACACACACACACACACACACACACACACACACACACACACACACACACACACACACACACACACACACACACACGACACCACACACACACACACACACACACACACACACACACAAAACGGATCATCAAATTTTATTATAATTTTATATTATTTGAAATAACAATTCAGTAAAAAAATTATATTGAAACAAAGTTCAAATTAAAGTTTAAATCTTCCTTTGATGATCTGACGACCGAAAAAGATAAATTGTGAATTATAAAAAATATTTTACAAAATAGTGGACATTGAAAACAAAGCTTGAAAAATGGAAAAATTTTATTTTTTATATTAGTTAGATAGTCGGTTGCTTTAGATTTACTTTTTTAATAATTTTTATAGATATAAGTTTTGAATTATTATTATAAATATAAAATATTTCATGAACTCAAAAATTAAATTGTGAATAATTACGTTTTATATCTTTTTCTTTCTTTTTATTTATTAGGTATTTGCAAGCCAAAAGAAAGTTTTAGAACTAAAATACTACAAACAAATGTTACTTAGAATATTATCAATTTTTATTTGTAATCTTTTACAATTCTACTGTTCGTGGATTGTATGCTTATAATTATGCCGTCTTTTACAAAAAATTAGATCTTTGCATTTTATAAATTGTTGCAGGTAAGATTAAAAGACGCTGTACCGGAAGCTTTCAGAATGGTACTAAACTACATTTATACCGATCGTATTGATCCTACCAAGAGATCAGACGACAAAGTTGAAGATCCCCAGAGCAACCGTATTGTACTTCTTATGATGGATGTATATCGGCTGGCTGTGCAATTCAATATGAAACGTTTGGAACAATTATGTATCAATTATCTCGAGGCAACCATAAGCCATGCGAACGTTTTGGAAGCATTGCGCAATGCTGTGCATTTGAAATTGTACTTTATAAAAGAGTTTTGTCTCAGCTTTGTTGTAAAGGAGATTAATTATAATTTAATCGTGATGAGTCAAGAATTTGAGACTTTAGATCAACCGTTAATGGTAGAGATTATTAGGCGACGACAAGTACCACAAGCCAGAACTTTTACGAAATGCGAATATGAATCTGTTACTGGTAGGTACTATATGCGATGTATATTTGTCATAAAATAGACATACAGAATTTATTCGATAGGAACTAGTCTGGAGCAAGACATGGAAGCGTTTTTGAAAAGCATTGGTCGAGAATTTTGTGATATCACATTGATACTGAACGATACGCCGATACCGGCGCACAAGGCTATTCTCGCAGCGCGATGTAGTTATTTTGAAGCAATGTTCCGATCTTTCATGCCTGAAAATAATACGGTGAACGTAAGTATAAGTTGTAAAAAAGTTTGTAGAAAGATATTACTAACAAAATTTCTTGTTAAATGAGAAAAAAATGGGATTTTATTACTTTTTAATATTTACCTATTAATATTTTATGTGTGATACAAATTTGTAATTTTCATGTAGATACAAATTGGTGAAATGATACCGTCGTCGGAATCGTTTCAATCCTTGCTGAGGTATATCTATTTTGCGGACGTCTCGATGCCTCCTGAAGACTCCTTGTATCTATTTACTGCGCCGGTATTTTATGGTTTCACAAATAACCGACTCCAGGCATTTTGCAAACAAAATCTCGAGATGAATGTCACTTTCGAAAATGTTATACAGATTTTAGAAGCAGCTGATAGAATACAAGCTACCGATATGAAGAAATATGCTCTGAATCTGATAGTTCATCACTTTAGCAAGGTAAGGAAATGTTCAAATCCTATGGGTTTTGATGTCAACACTATTAATATTTATACGCATATATAAAATATTTCTTTTATTCAGGTTGCCAAGCTTCCAAGATTAAGACAATTAAGCCGCGAACTTTTGTTGGATATTCTTGATGCGTTAGCTGATGAACGCAGCGAAACTAGAACTTGTCAAGATATGACAAATGATTGCTGACGGATTTCTATTTCAGATCGTCGTCCGTGCAATTGGGATTTACCATCACCGTGCAGTTTTCAGGTGAGAGTGATTACCATGTATACGCCATATACACGCACAGCATTATTTTATTTTATTTGATATAAGATAGATATTATAGACAAACAATTATAGAGTATTGAAAGATAAAGATTTATTATAATATCCTATTTTACTCTAGGAATTGTGCCGCGTGAATTTTATCCTAGGACGAACGATTCTGTTTGTCGGTAATTGTTACTTCGATCAAGCAGCTAAATCTTGCCTGACATCGGATATACAGACCCTGTTACCATTGTCAACAACCACGTCCGTCTCGATTCAAGATGAATCATCGTGCAACGCTAATCATCTGATCGCATCGTCTCGTTGCGATGATGATAGAAGGCAGCACCAATGGTCTACTATTACCCGTCGCTGTTCCGTCGGTTGCAACATGTTGAAACGCACTGTTGTTGCTTTATCAGATCTTGGGCTTAAAAAACTGTTTCCATAATCGGAATAATTTATTAATGTTGAAGAGAGCGATGACTTTCAATGATATTGTAGAAAAGTTTATCATTAGACATAGAACTGCGTGAAAGTTGACGTATAATATTAATATAATGACTATATCCGTTGATATAATGAAACATTAATCGTGATACGCAGGATACATGCGCTATAAGACTTATTCCATAAGTAGATACATTAACGTCACATCGTAACAACGTACATGTATTTTAATTAGCGATTATTATATTGATTATATCTATTTATTTATATAGAATGTTAAAATTTGAATATAACAAGAAATAGTATTTTATCAGAAAAGAGCGTATAAAAATTAAGCGATGAAAATATGTGCAATTTTTTATTTAGTCGAATCATTTGTTAGTTATAAGGATTTAAGTTTGATCGATCATGAACTGCAGAATATTCTGCGTATGCTTAAAGTTGCTTCTATTTTTTTTTATTCGAGTTTTGTAATACCTTTTATTACAATATTCGGATTCAATACTCGAATAATGAGTTACTATTGTTGATAATGAGTTACTATTTAATGAGTTACTATTAATAATGAGTTACTATTGAGGATCATATTAAGAAATCTACTGAATTTTTATAGGCTATTAATCGATCTCAATTGGTCTACCTCTTATGAGGAGATAATAGACTCGAAAAATGTTGACATTATTAATTATTCAGTCGTTCGATATACTTGCACGCTTGATCCATAAGGCACTATTAATTTTACAATTTACAGTTATTTCGATATCTTGTGATACACAGCGAATTTTTTAAATAATATAATCTCTTGTAACAAATCAGTCTTCAATAATATTTCATTGCAATTATCATGATAAGCCTACATATGTTTCCACATTTTTATTATACACGTTGAAGAATTTGTAAAATATACACGAAATATCTATTTATGATTACGCTAAAGAAAACATTATAAGTGAGGTGTTTACATACATTCGCAAATGTATTGTTTTTTTGGTCAAACTTCTTAATCATTAATCTTTTTATAATTATATATGAGATAAACATATTTTTATGGACTCGAATAATAGTATAATTTTACTTACACAAGTGGAAGACTGGAATAATTGATAAAAATGAATATGCTTGTGTCGTTAAAAGTAAATGTATTTTCAGGATATTTCAGAATTATTCATACCGAGTAAGACAAAACATTTGAATATCTTCGATGCAAAAAAATACTATTATTATAATATCACTCTTAAAAGTATAATAAGATTTCATTTAAAAAAACATGAATGAGATTAAAAAATAGAAAACATAATTTTGAGAAAAATTATCTTTCCCTATGATAATAGGGATATTTCCTCTTTCGAACTAAACAATTTTTATTATTGTTACTTTTTTGTATCTTCGCAACAAAGATATTCAAGTTTTAATTACTTTACCCAATATACAACAATATTTATAACTAAATGTGAAAGTATAGAAAATTAATTATATTTAGATTATGCATCTATGGGTGTTTTCCATTTATGTCCTTATTAATTGAAAGCCAAGAAAGATAGAATGATACTTGTGTCGACTTGTGTCACTAAATGAAAAGCACCCAGTATAAGTCAGACTAAGTTAAAGGCGCCTATATTTTCATCGAATATAGTATAATAAATCGAATTTTAACTTGCGAAAAAAGAAATATTTTATTTAATATATTACTATTAATGGCCTTCGTCGATGAATGATAATTGCGATTTAAGATTCGCGAAATTAAAATTATGCAGGATTATAGTAGTATTAGATATAAATGGATTGTAAAGCGGATAATAACATTAATAACCGCACTTAGTTGTAATAAATTATTATATTTTAATCTTGAATATATATAATTGTACATACATATAGTTTGTATTCTCATAGTAAATGAAGTAATTAATGCTTCAAGTTTAGAGCAAAAACAAACAATATGAATCGAAGGAACGAGAGGAACCAAATGGTAGGAGATCATAAATAAAATCACATTACCTATCTTTCTCCGTATGTATCTCTATCTTTTTTTTCTACGTAGTATTATTTTTAAATAGATGGCATTTTTATTATATCTAATGTTGTTTCTAGGTGCTTATTTATCTTGAATATTTATTTGATTTAGCGATATTTCATTCTATGTAATTCAATAAAATTGAATTTACGATGAGCGAGATTGATTTATTCATCTTAGTATAATGTATCAAATCAGGTTTGTGCTTCGAAGTAAACATCTCCCGCTTGTGTTCCTCTCGTCTTTCGTCTTTCTGCTTGCTAAGACGCGTTTTAACAGAAATTTTAACAATGCAATATGTACGGTCTGCTTCTCCTCATAGTCCTCAATCACACACGTTGACAACACGTTAACGATATACAATGTTTCGATATAATTATTGGATCTTTTCTCATGGAAGTAACAAAATTACTGAACGGAGGCTAAATGAGTTTTTAAACAAAGAAAGTATTAGTTAAATGGAAAAACAAAGTGGCTATTCTCTCGATCTTTGAGCAGATTAAAGCATAATTTATTGTTGTCTATTGCTATTGTTTTTATTATAAGGAATGTAATGTACATACATCTATATATTCAATATAAATCTTCTGGAGAGATGCTTGTTGAATCAACATATTTTTTCGCTTTTCTCTTATATTTATTTACACTCCGTAGGAGTAAACTCCGTTCAGTAGACGGAGTAGACTCATTTGTTACGTTTATCTTTTAGATTTAGATTTATCTTTTAGATAAGATCTCTAGAAATTTATTACGTCCCACTTATTAAACTATTAAGTTTTAACATTCACCACGGTCATCATATAAGCCAATGTGCAAGAACGCCATACGAATAAGAAGAGCGGGAAACGCTAGAAAAAGAGTGTAAAACGAAGAAAAAAAATATATATATTTATATTAAAATATATATATATTCAAATATGATATTGATCAATATGATCAAATATAATGATATTTTTAATTGTTTATTTTTTGATTAAAGAAATTATTAAAGCTTCTATGGTACCATGTGACATTAAATAAGTCATTACGCTATATTATCTTATTATTCAGTTATTTAATAATAATAATAATTTTAGAGAGCGATACATTTCTCGTAGAACGAAATAATTGAATGGAAGATAACATTGATATTTAGATAAAGAAAATATTAGTTAAATAAAATGAATGAAGAAGCTGTTATTTCCACTTCGATGTTAAAAGCTAAACTGAGACTCTGATAATGAAGCGGCAAGTTGAAACGTTATTTTTACTAAAATTTCGATGTTTTTCCATTTTCTTGTAAAATATAAACAAGACAATTGTATTTAAGATATTTTGTTTTTTAGCCATTGAAAAATTCAGACATATTTTATTCAATATTATAAGGAAAAAGAAGGAAAGCGTCAATTTATATATGTTTACACATTTCTATTTTCCGAAATCAATTTTCAATTCTTCTATCCTTTAATGTTCTATTCTTTAAACGTCTTTGTTCTTTTGTAAGACGTTTAAATAAACTCTTTTACAAAAACGTCTTATGCATTAGTAAGCTCTACACTTACTATGTAATCTTAATATAATTATTCTAAGTAGGCCTTTTTTGTTTGTCGCTTAAAAGTCTAAGTTTAAGTCTACGTTTAATATTGCACGCGACTATCCAACCTCGCAATGCAACATTAAATGTAAACAGCTCGGACTTAGTTTAATCATTACAAAGAGACATCTATAAATTACAAGGAAATAACGAGTAAATTAAAAGTAGCGATATGATCGTGATACAAACTTCACACGTTTCGAATGGCCCCAATCTGAAAATGCACAAACATGAGAGATCCTTTTGTTCTTTAATGATTTTTATTATATCAATGACTGTAATTTTATTGTAATTTTATGTATTGTAATTGTATGTAATTTTATTATATCAATGACGACTTACCGATTGTAATATATTGTTTGATTCGTTTTGCAGGAGTCCAAAGAGTGCAAGACAATCAATCCTTGAAGATCAATACTCTTGGATTTTCTATATGCATTCGCACATAGAGAGAAGGATACATCTCGTTGAGCATTACATATTACGTCGAGCCTTTACATATCATGTACATCCATGTCGACGATGTGGTCCATATCAAATGTTCGAGAAGTTCTTCTTTCAGACCAATTTATACAGGTCATTTCTACAGCAATAATAGCGATCGTTATTGATGACTACTCAAAAAATATCAAAGGGAGAAAATTAATTATTATCAATTTAATGAATTTTTATCTAATATATCTATTTTTGAATAATCACGATGTGATATGTCTTTATATTTTTTGAAAAGTAGTACAAATTTTTAAATTAGAATAAGTTTAAGCAACTAAAGAAAAGCTTTTCTTTAATAATATAAATTATACATAAAATTAACAAACACAAGTGTTCAAATTATTTTAGGAATAGGTCCCAAGTTATCAATTACAGTTATATGACAAACAAAATTTCCTTAAGATTAAAAAGCAAAATTGTTAATTTTAAATTGATACGAATAAACTTTACGAAATATTATTCTTTTTTTTCTTTTTTTGGATAAAATATGCTCCATACTTCAAATGTTATAGAATGTCGTTCCTATTCGCACCTTTTCTTCAACAATACTGCTTGTCGATGGTACTCTTTGCGAAGGATCTAATCTTCTCCGTCTCTCCTCAATAACTTCGGTGTCGGAATTGCCCGGAATGGTCACTTGTGCCGGTTGCGTTAGGGATGCGTTCACGTGTCTTGTTTTCATCAACGGCGGATTCCGAGATTGTGGTAACGCGAAAGCTCGTCTGAGAGCACCACGTGGTGGCGACGGTGGTGGATAAGATATACCTAATGATACATCATCAATACATGAATACTCATTTAAATATCGCGTTTTATAAATAAATTATTTTTGGATTTTATAAATGCGATTAAATTTAAACTGTGGATATTGCGGATATTAAGTGGATTTTGAGCAATATTCTAGAAGAAATCTTTTTTTATGCTTTCTCTTCTCAAAATAAAATATTTTCA